CAAGGCCAAGGGTGAGGGATTTTGGGAATTTGAGCTCAACAAATATCTGGGAACCTACAGATTGGGAACTGTTGAATCTTTAGAGGGACCTAAAGAATAGCATTAACTGCCCTCAGGATTTCTTTATTGATGGAAATGACTGGTGACTAGATTAAAATTGAAAGGAGCTATCCAAGGTGCTGAACCATTTGGAGGCTGAGTTCAACACCCTGCATGAATCCTTTAAAATCCAGAATTGATCCCATTAACAGAGCATGGCTCTTGAGCACCCAAACTGGGCTAGACTAGACCTTCTCCTTGCTATACAGGTTTAAGGCTTGACTTGCTCACATATTATCTCTTATGGGATGACTCCAGGATTTTAAGAGCATGACAGAGAAGGCCTTAGGCCTACCTAGAGGGACAATGTTGGCTTCTCATCTGAAACATTGCAATGTTACTGGTGAATTCTAGGAAGTGAACCTTGCTACCATTTTGCATTAGAGAGGATGAGGTGAGAACTTGACCAGGGTGAGGTCAAGTTCTTCTGGTCCAAAACATGACCTTTCCCCTACTAAAACCAGTTATACTTTTTTGCCATGACTTGCGTGTAAACCACTTTGAGTCCCCCTTGGGGTGAGAAAAGTGGTATACAAATACTGTCAATGAATAATAAATAAAACTGGGTTGAGTGAAGCATTCAGGAATGCATCTTTCCTACATGGAGATGCAGCCACCTGTGTTTTTGGAGGTCACCCTAACCTGGCCTCCCTTCTAAGATGTCCATAGACTTCCAAGGAGGATTTGTGGGGTGTATGGACAACCCTACAACTCTTATTGGCCACTGTAGATTTTCAGAAGAGCCCTTCTTACTTTCTGGCTCAAAACCTAAAAGCCTTGCCCTGGTCATCTCTCTTTGGATGTGAGGTGGTCCCAAAACACCCCACATCATTCCAGGGGGGAGATGGTTATGAATCAAAGCTTGGACCCAATGTTAACCTACTTTTGGGGGTGGTGTGATGCCTTCCCTCCACCCCCTCAATCATGGAGATACTGGGATCAAAGGAGGAAGGTGATGTCCTACTTCTAGTCTAAAACTACCCCCACTTGTTCTGCTCTCACTCCCTTCAACCTTGTTGCTCTCTTGGGTTCCTTCCCCAGAAGCCTTTACCAGCAAAGCCAAGAGTGAAGGATTCTGGGAAAGCAAGGAAGATTTCCTGACCTACAATCCAAAGCCTGGGTCTTCTTTGATTCTCCCAACAAATAAATGGAGGGGGTCACCTTCCCTATTCATGCTTCCCTATTCCTTCCTCCTCCTGACATGTCCTTGTAAGGAGAGCTAGAAAAGCATCCCTTGTCTCTGATAGCTGCCAATTGAAGAGGGGGGCTTGATCCCCTTTGCAGCAGCCCCCCCTCCAAATGTGTGTGTGACAACGTCTTCAGAGTCATCCTTCTGCTGCCTATGACGTGGGCAGAGACATCAGGCCTTCGCCCTCTACCATCCTCTCACATTTGGGAGAGGGGGGGATTTTCTTCCTCTCTCTCTCTCTCTCTTTTTTCTAGAACACCCTCATCTCCTGTTGGCTGAGATTTAAAGGGGGGACCTTCTTTCTCTGCCCCCCAGGTTTTTTTGTTGAGTTGGGGGGGGGGGTCCTTATTCTCTTTCCCTCTTTCCAATCCCTCTCTCTGTCTCTCAGTCCCTCAAGGGCTAAATGTTAAAGGGGTGTTGGGCCTCAATTTTTGGAGGGGGGGTGATCTCTGTCAACCATCAATCTTCCCTTGGCAATGACTATTTGGTGGAGGGGGGTTGTATTTTCACCTTCCTCAGTTCTTCTAAAGGGGGCTTTAAGTGAGGTATTGGGCCTTCATTCCATCAGGGCATTTTGGGGAGGGGGGATTCCTCTCTCTSTCTTTCCCTTTCCCCCAATCTCTGCAGCTCTCTCCAAGCTTGAGATGAAGAGAGCATTGGGCCTACCTCCTCTTCCTTCCCCTTGATTTGAGGGGTCCCTTCTCTCTCTCTCTCTCTCTCTCTCTCTCAATCTCTCCCCCAGATTAAATTTAAAGGAGTGATGTCAGACCTTCTGAGCCCACTCAATGTTGGGAGGGGGGAGTCAAACACATTATGGGAGTGATGTCAGACATAGGCCTTCTGCAACCTTCTCAGTCTTCAATGGGGAGACCTTCTTTCCCCAATCTTCATGTCCCTGGAATTGATGCCATACAGGGGCCTTCTGGTGCCTCTTCAGCATTGGGGGCTAGGTTCTCTCTCTCCCCCCCTTTCCCAATCCTTACCCTTTAATTCAGACTGAGATTTAAGAGGGTGATGTCACACCTTGGCCCTTTGGGGCCCCTCAGTTCCTCTTCCTCTCCCCAACCTTCACCTACAAGCCCAGGCTGTAATGAAAGGAGGTAATGTCACACCTGGGCCTCAATACAAGGGGCCAGGTTTCCTCTCTCCCCCCATTCCCCTTATTAATTCAGGTTGGAATTTATAGGAGTGATGTCAGGCTACACTCTTTACAACCCTGCAATATGAAAAAGGGGGGAGCAGATCTCCCTTCTCTCCCTCCTTGTGTCCCATATTTCTCTGACAAGTGAGAAGTACACTGGACCTTTGGGTGCCCCCCCCATATTTGAAGGATATTGAAACATGACTGGTGACTGGACCTTCTGATGTTCCTTATATATTGAGTGGGGACCCCTTCCTATTCTGAATATAAGTGTTGGATTGGATCTTGTGATGCCTGGCATAGTGGGGTTCTGTTCTGAAATATAAGCAGTGCAATCGGACCTCTGGTGTCCCCCATATATTTGGAAGATACCCCCTCTTTCTCTGAAATGTAAGTGGTGGATTGGACCTTCTGATGCTCCTTAGATATTTAGTGGGGACCCTATTGTGAAATATATGTGGTGCACTGGACCTAGTGGAGGATACCTCCCTTCCTCTGAAATATAAGCAGCACATTGGGCCCTGTGGTGCACCCCACATATTTGGAGGACATCTCTTTCTTTCTCTGCAATTGGACCTTCTGATGCAGCTCATATACTTGGTGGGGACCCCTTCCTATTCCAAAACCTGGATCCTATAGTGTCCTCCATATATATGGTGTCCTCCAGATCTCCCCTCTCTCCCTCCATGTGTTCCATATTTCTCTGGCAGGTGAGCAGTGTGCTGGACCTTTGGATGCCCCCCCCCAATATATTTGGAGGATACCCCTTCTTTCTTTGATTGGACATTCTGATGCTCCTTATACATTTGGTGGGATCCCTTCCTATTTCGAAATATAAGTGGTGATTAGACCTGGACCTTATGATGTCCCTCATATATTTGAAGGATACTCCATTATTTCTCTGAGATATAAGTGGTGATTGGGCCTTGTGGTGCCCTTCCCCACCACTATATATATGGAGGATACTCATTCTCTGAAATACAAGTGGTGCACTGGACCTTATGATGCCCCTCATTTATTTGGAAGATACTCTTTCTCTGAAATCTAAATGGTGGTTTGGACCTTCTGATGCTCTTTATAGATTTAGTGGGAATCCCTTCCTATTCTGAAATATAAGTGGTCATTCGACCCAAACCTTATGGTGTCCACATATTTGGAGGATACCCCACTCTTTCTCTGAAATATTAGTGGTGGATTGGATCTTCTGGTGCTCTTTATGGATTTAGTGGGGATCCCTTCCTATTCTGAAATATAAGTGATGATTGGAACTGAACCTTATGACGTTCCTCACATATTTGGAGAATACTCCGTTCTTTCTCTAAGTTATAGGTGGTGATTGGACCTTGTGGTATCCTCCATATATGTGGAAGATACCCCACTTTTTCTCTGAAATATAGGTGGCAAACTGGGCTTTCTGATGCTCCTCATATATTTAGTGGTGAATTAGACCTTCTGATTGGTGGGAATTGGACCTTCTGAGGCTCCTCATATATTTAGTGGTGAAATGGACCTTCTAATTGGTGGCGAATTGGACCTTCTGATGTTCCTCATATATTTAGTGGTGAACTGGACTTTCTGACTGGTGGCGAATTGGACCTTCTGATGTTCCTCATATATTTAGTGGTGAACTGGACCTTCTGATGTTCCTTATATCTTTAGTGATCAATTGGACCTTCTGATTGGTGGCAAATTGGACCTTCTCATGTTCCACATATATTTAGTGGTGAACTGGACCTTCTGATGTTCCTCATGTATTTAGTGGTGAATTGGACCTTCTGATGCTCCTCATATATTTAGTGGTGAACTGGACCTTCTGATGCTCCTCATATATTTCATGGTGATTGGACCTAGGTCAGGCATGGGCCAGCTTGGACTCTCCAGAGGTTGGACTTCAACTCCCACCATTCCTAACAGCCTTGGGCCCTTTCCTTTTCCCCCCTCAGCCGCTTAAGAGGGGCCTGTGGCTGTTAGGAATGGTGGGAGTTGAAGTCCAAAACACCAGGAGAGCCCAAGTGGGCTCATGCCTGACTAGACCCTGCACTGTCCCCCATATATTTGGGGGTGCCCTTGTTTCTCTGTCTCTGTCCTGTAATCCCTTGGCCCACCCACTTGGGGAATGGTGGGAGCTGAAGTCCAAAACACCAGGAGAGCCCAAGTGGGCTCATGCCTGACCAAGACCCCATATATTTGGAGGTGCCCTTGTTTCTCTGTCCTGTAATCCCTTGGCCCTCCCACTTGGGGAATGGTGGGAGTTGAAGTCCAAAACACCAGGAGAGCCCAAGAGGGCTCATGCCTGACCGAGACCCTGCGCTGTCCCCCATAGATTTGGAGGTGCCCTTGTTTCTCTGCCCTGTAATCCCTTGGCCCACCCACTTGGGGAATGGTGGGAGTTGAAGTCCAAAACACCAGGAGGGCCCAAGTAGGCTCATGCCTGACCTAGACCCCATAGATTTGGAGGTGCCCTTGTTTCTCTGCCCTGTAATCCCTTGGCCCATCCACTTGGGGTCTCCAGTTGAGGCAGGTCTCCCTGGGGACGGAGAGAGGGACATGATTGGGGTGGGGGCTTCCTACCTCCAGACCTGTCCCATCTGCAGCAGGTGGATGACGGACTGCCAGATCCAGACGGAGAGGCGGCAGAGGCGCTGGGAGGCGGCGTGTGCGGCGGCGGGGGTGCCGACGCCTCCCCCGGCGCGGGTGGCCCTCCTGCCGACGGAGCCCATCATGGGGGGGCCGCGGCTGGTGAGGCCCTGCACGGCGCCCAGCCCGCCGCCGGTGTAGTCCTGCACGAACCATCGGAAGCTGAGGATCTGGACCAGGACGGAGGGCAGGAGCACGAAGGCGAGCGTGAGGCCGCAGAAGAGGTAGTCCTGCCGGCCGTAGTGGTGGAGCGCCAGCCAGAGGTCGGTGCCCACGTCTCCGAGGAGGACGAGGAGGGCCAGGACGATCCAGAGGCAGTCGAGCCAGGCCCGGGGCGGGGGCTGTCCCTGCGGCGAGGGCGAGGAGGGCTCTCCGGAGGGGCCCCCCGGGGGGTCGGCGGCGGCTCCTCCTCGGCGGGGGGGCGCCCCCGAGGCCCGGCCCAGGAGGTGGCGCAGGCAGGCGCTCCGGCAGCCCCAGTAGCAGGAGGAGGTGTTGCAGCAGTGGCAGATGTGCACCGAGCTGCTCCCGCCGGGCTCGTCCTCGTCGTCCTCCTCGGGGCCCGCGCCACCCCCGCAGCAGCCCCGGCCCGAGCCCCGCAGCGGGAGGCCCGAGTGGTGGTGGTGGTGGTGGTGGGCGGCCGCGTGCAGGTGGTGCTGGGCTTGCGGGGGCAGGTGGTGGTGGCGCCGAGGGGGGTCGTCCAGGTTGTGCAGCTGCGAGAAGCCCACCCCGCCGCCGCAGCCGCCGCCGCCGTCCGACTTGGCCGCCATCCCGGGCCCCGGGCCCCGCTCCCCGCCGACGCCGCCCGGGCCTCCCCTCCTCCTCCTCCTTCTTCCTCCTCCTCCGCCGCCGCCACCGCCGTCTCCCCCTTCCTCCCTTCCTTCCTTCCTTCCTTTCCTTCCTTCCTTCCCTTCCTTCCTTCCCTCCTCCCCACCGCCTCCTCCTTCCCTTCCTTTCCCTTCCTTTCCCTTCCTTCCTTCCCTCCTTCCTCTCCTTCCTCCTCCTCCTCGCTCTCCTTCTCCTCCTTTTCCCCCTCTGCTTCCGGGGGAGACGGAGGAGGAGGGGGGAGGAGGGAGGAGGGAGGGGGTGGCGCTACGCACCGGACGGACCCCCCGCCCCCGCCGCCGACATCCCTCCCTCCCTGCTCTTCCTTTCTCCCTTCCCTGCCTTTCCCTTCCCTCCTTTCCTTGCGGGAGGAGGAGGAGGGGGGAGGAGGGGGAGGAGGAGGGGGACCCCCGCCCCCTCCGCGCACAGCCCGACACGTCCGCCCACGCCGACGCCACCGAGAGAGAGAGAGAGAGAGAGAAGGGAGGGAGGGATGGGAGGGAGGAAGGAAAGGAGGGAGACACCCTCTGCCTCCTGGCTGGCTTGAACCGGATCGACCTGGACTCCTCCTCCTCCTCCCCCCTCCTCCTCCCCTTCCTCCTCTTTATCCCCCCCCCCCTCCACAGTCCAGCATCTTCTGGCTCTTCAGCATCCATCCTCTCCATCCTCTGTGCAAGAGCAGGCCCAAGCTGGCCATGGAAGAAGGCTCAACTGCAAGCCACACATAGAATATGCCCCACAGCATCCTTGCTCCTTTCCTCTCCATCCTCTGTGCAAGAGCAGGCCCAAGCTGGCAATGGAAGAAGGCTCAACTGTAAACCACACACAGAATATGCCCCAGAGCATCCTTGCTTCCTTCCTCTCCCCTCTGCTTTCTGTCCTAGGTACCTCTAAGCAAGGACAGGCCCAAGCTGGCAGTGGAAGAAGGCTCAGGTGCAAGCCACACATACCTCTAGCAAGGACAGGCCCCAAAGCATCCTTCCTCCCTCTCCATCCTCTGTGCAGGGACAGGCCCAAGCTGACCATGGAAGGAGACTCAGCAGCCACACATCATACACTCCTAAGCAAGCCTCACTCTCTTCCCTTCCATCTCCAAAACCTGCAAAGGTGAAGGGACTTCCTCTCCTCTCTGCTTTCTGTCCTAGGGACCTCTAGCAAGGGCAGGCCCAAGCTGGCAATGGAAGAAGGTTCAACCATCCATAATACACTCCTAAGCATCACTCTCTTCCCCATCCATCTCCAAAACCTGCAAAGATGAAGGGACTTCCTCTCCTCTCTGCTTTCCTAGGTACCTCTAGCAAGGACAGGCCCAAGCTGGCAGTGGAAGAAGGCTCAGGTCCAAGCCACACATATAAGACACCCCCAAAGCATCCTTCCTCCTTCTCCATCCTCTGTGCAAGGACAGGCCCAAGCCTTCCCTTCCATCTCCAAGACCTGCAAAGGTGAAGGGACTTCCTCTCCTCTCTGCTTTGTGTCCTAGGTACCTCTAGCAAGGACAGGCCCAAGCTGGCAGTGGAAGAAGACTTTGGTGCAAGCCACACATATAAGACACCCCCAAAGCATCCTTCCTCCCTCTCCATCCTCTATGCAGGGACAGGCCCAAGCTGGCAGTGGAAGGAGACTCAGCAGCAACACATAAAACACTCCTAAGCATCACTCTTTTCCCTTCCATCTCCAAGACCTGCAAAGGTGAAGGGGCTTCTCCTCCTCTGTCTTTCCTTCTTGGGTTCAAAAACAGGCCCAAGCTGTCAATGGATGTCTGAGGATGCTTGCCATAGATGCAGGCGAAACGTCAGGAGAAAAATTGCCTCCAGAACATGGCCATATAGCCCGGAAAAACCTACAAAAACCCACACATATAATACTCCCCCAAAGCGTCATTCCTTCCTTCCTCTCCATCCTCTGTGCAGAGACAGGCCCAAGCTGGCAATGGAAGGAGACTCAGCAGCAACACAGGACCAAGCTGGCAATGCAAGGTTCAGGTGCAAGCCACACATATAATACACCCCCAAATCATCATTCCTTCCTTCCTCTCCATCCTCTGTGCAGGGACAGGCCAAAGCTGGCAATGGAAAGAAACTCAGCAGCAACACATAATACACGTCTAAGCATCACTCTCTTCCCCTCCATCTCCAAGTCCTGCAAAGGTGAAGAGACACCCTCTCCTCTCTGTTTTCCTTTCTGGGTACCTCTAGCAAGGACAGGCCCAAGCTGGCAATGCAAAGTTCACATGTAATATTTATTTATTTATTTAGCAGTTTTGTATACCTGTCTTCTCACCTCTATCGAGGGACTCAGGCCGGTTTCCAACATCAATATTTTAGACAGTCATTAAAAACATCAAATTCTAAATCACACCAAAACATTAAAACATTAAAATAGCAAAATACAGTCATATAAATTACAATGGTCATTACAAAATCATTGTTTGTCATCATCCACCCATACCATGGGATCGTGGCTCATTTGTCGAATGCCAATTTCCAGAGCCAAGTTTTCACCTGTCTTCTGAACGTCAAGATAGAAGGGGCAGTTCTGATCTCCAGTGGAAGGGAGTTCCAGAGTCGAGTGGCCACCACCGAGAAGGCCCTGTCCCTCGTCCCCACCAAACGCGCTTGTGAGGCCGGTGGAACTGAGAGCAGGGCCCCTCCAGATGATCTTAGCAATCTTGATGGTTCATAGGGGAGGATACGTTCAGACAGATAAATTGGGCCGGAGTCGTTTATGTTAAGACCAGCACTTTGAATTGTGCTCGGAAGCTAACTGGCAGCCAGTGGAGCTGGCGCAACAGAGGAGTAGTATTCTCCCTGTACCCCGCTCTTGTTAGTAGTCTGGCTACCGCACGTTGGACTAATTGCAGTTTCTGGGCAGTCTTCAGAGGCAACCCCACGTAGAGAGCATTGCGGTAATCAAAACGGGATGTAACCAAAGTGTGGACCACTGTGGCCAAGTCAGAATTCCCAAGGTATGGGCGCAGCTGGCGCACAAGTTTTAATTGTGCAAAAGCTCCTCTGACTACCGCTGAAACTTGGGGTTCCAGGCTCAGTGATGAGACCAGGATCACTCCCAGGCTGCGAACCTGCACCTTCAGGGGGAGTGTAACCCCATCAAGGACAGGCTGTAACCTGTAATACACCCCCAAAGCATCCTTCCTTCCTTCCTTCCTTCCTTCCTTCCTTCCTTCCTTCCTTCCTTCCTTCCTTCCTTCCTTCCTTCCTTCCTCTCCATCCTCTGTGCAAGGACAGTCCCAAGCTGGCAATGGAAGAAGTTTCAACCATCCATAATACACTCCTAAGCATTACTCTCTTCCCCCTCCATCTCCAAGACCTGCAAAGGTGACGAGAACTTCCTCTCCTCTGTGCTTTCCTTCCTGGGTACCTCTAGCAAGGGCAGGCCCAAGCTGGCAATGAAAGAAGGCTCAGGTGCAAACCTCAAAGCACTATTTCTTCCCCCATCTCCAATATTTGCTGCAAATGTGATGGAAGGGTTTCCTTTCACCTGGCTTTGCTGCCTGGGCCAAAAACACAGTTCCAAGGTCTCCCGTGGGCCTGAAAGGCACCAGGAAAGGACGCAAAGCTTGGAAGTACTGGAGGCCCTTCGTCCCATCTCTCCATTAGACAGGTGCACAGAAAAGGGCTTTATGGCTCTCTCTGCAGTAGAGTAGAGCCCAGGCATACGTGAACTTGGGACCTCCTTCTGGGTGTCTTGGACTTCAACTCTCACAATTCCTAACAGCCTCAGGCCCTTTCCTTTTGCTTTCCTTTTCCACTTAAGTGTCTGAGGGGGTAAAGGCTGCTAGGAATTAGAATCATAGAATCAAAGAGTTGGAAGAGACCTCATGGGCCATCCAGTCCAACCCCATTCTGCCAAGAAGCAGGAATATTGCATTCAAATCACCCCTGACAGATGGCCATCCAGCCTCTGTTTAAAAGCTTCCAAAGAAGGAGCCTCCACCACACTCCGGGGCAGAGAGTTCCACTGCTGAACGGTTCTCACAGTCAGGAAGTTCTTCCTCATGTTCAGATGGAATCTCCTCTCTTATAGTTTGAAGCCATTGTTCCTTGTCCTAATCTCCATGGAAGCAGTAAACAAGCTTGCTTGTGGGAGTTGAAGTCCAAAAGACCTGGAAGCCCCATACCTGGTAGAGACGAACCTGGGCTAAATCCCTCACTTTGGAGATTTGCATCCAGATTATGATTTATGTTTATATATGTGTCTTGACACCAAGATGTTCTCCAAAAGATATTATTGTTATTATTACGATGTTTATTTATATCCCGCCTTTTCTCTCCATCGAGAGACTCATAGTGGCTCACAACAAAAAGCATTGCAATACAACTTGAAATATACAAATATACAACCGGTGCTTGGCAGCTGTGTCGGACTGGATGAGAGCTAACAAATTGAAAGTGAATCCAAACAAGACAGGGTCAGTTCAAAGGCCGAACAGGGCATAGGGTTACAGCCTGTATTGGATGGGGTTACACTCCCCCTGAAGATGGAGGTTCGCAGCTTGGAAGTGATTCTGGACTCATCACTGAGCTTGGAACCCCAGGTCTCGGTGGTGGCCGGGAGAGCTTTTGCACAAATTAAAACTTGTGCGCCAGCTGTGCCCGTACCTTGGGAAGTCTGACTTGGCCATGGTGGTCCATGCTCTAGTTACATTCCCAATAGACTACTGCAATGCACTCTATGTAGGGTTGCCTTAGAAGACTGTTCAGAAACTTCAACTAGTCCAACAGACAGCAGCCAGGTTACTAACTGGAGTGACATACAGGGAACACACCACCCTCCTGTTGTGCTGGTCTTGGCCTATAAACTCCTATACGGTTCTGGAAACTTTAGTCCAGCAGGCAGCAGCCAGGTTACTAACTAGAGTGACATACACTCTAGTTGGCCTATAAACCCCTATACAGTTCCGGGAACTTCAACTAGTCCAACAGGC